GCCATGAATCGTGCCCCATGCATGACCATGGCCACCGATTCATGTACCATGACTGAAAAGCTTAGATCCGGGGTTTAAGCGGCTAAAGTCAGTTTTCTGCAAGAAATCACATGTCAGGATGGAGTGAAGCAAAAATCGGTTTACCACTGCTTTACTGGTATATTACTAAGCCTACCCCTATAACTATATGTATGCATTAACGGCATGGCTTTGACGTAGACTGAAGCTTACGCAGGCAGTAATCAGGATGAAACCACACATTTCTAATCTGTAATGTAAACCTAATTAGTTTCTTTTCATAACCGTTCAGCTTAATTAAGACTGGAATAATGAAGTAATAATACGTTTTTCGAGCTCCATGCATTTTTGACACGTTTTAAGGAACTGTTCGGTTCTGGGTACGAATTAATCAGCGGTTCATTTTTTCATTCGTAATTAGAACCCGTCATTAGTCTAGGGTTATCTCCAGCATAAAAGCCTATCTCTGATGTATTTTTTCCATTCTGCTACACAACAAAAATATCGACAGCGACATAAGAAGTCAACCACATAGTTTTACTGGTATGAATGCAAGCAGCGACGCTGAATGTGATAACAAGATAGTGAATTAATTATAGCTAGGGATCCGTAGAACGAAAGTGAGACCGCTGAGACGATGGTCACTTAAGAGTCAAGCACAGTAGCTGAATTTCGTAAAAATATCACTGTAAGAATGATGGCTAATGCCAACAAGAATATTCAAATATGATACTTTTCGTTTGACTGAAAGAAAACTCTCATGTCGGGGCATGTAATATCAAGGTTAAAGGACTAAAAGAGCAAGTTGGTTGAAACACTGATAATGCTGAGAAAGAGCACAGCAAGACTGAAACTGGCGCATAATTCTAAAGAATGGTGACACTGCAGGGTGTGATCGAAGATTTGACCAACGGTCGAAAAAGTGGAGGAATGGCTTAAGCGAACGATTGGCCGTTAAAAAGCGAACACTATAAAGGAGAGGAAGAAAAAAAAGATAATGAGAATAAGAGAAAAATGATGAGGTAAAGAAGATTGAGAAAAGGAAAGAAAAACAAGATGAAGGAAAAGAAAATAAAAAAGATTAGGGCAGCCTAGTATAAAACAGCAACGTCATAGTTTATTTAACAGTCGACACGCTTAGATGTCGGTGCTAATAGCATAGTCACAATGTTTTCTTGATTTGTGCAAATGGTCACTCAGTAAATCCTAGGACAAAAGCAGCTAAAGTCATACAACAGCTTAGAGGTTGTTGTATGAGTGTTCAAACGAAGATACCATAAGCTCTTTCGCCCACAGTTTCGAAACTCGGAACAATCCCATGCGGGATGATGCGACATAAGGAACATGAACTCAGCAATACATGGTAAAACTGTCGTTCTCCTACATTAATGTAAGATTTATTTTACTAAGAAGTAAGTGAACGAGTGTAAGCTGCACTGCCGCATGCCTTTGGTGAAAAAATTATCAAAATGGAAACCAACAATTATTAACCAAATTACTAAAAAGAGTATTCTATTAGGCATAAACCTTGATTCAGATCAAATGACAGACAATGCACACCGAAACGAGCGCAACTCGCTCACAATGCACATAACAACAAACAATGACAACAAATGTTTACTTGTAAATAAAAACTTGGTTTGCCAACGCGAAAGCTGCATTTCCCCGATTGCACATCTAATAATATCACTCTGGGACAGCATAAATAAACAGTCAAGAAATAAATAATTAACCAGTCAACAGAAAAGAAAAATATGCAATTGTTTCACTTCATTGCAACCCTTGACCGATATAGAAATGCCAAGAGCATGTCAATGTTAAAAACAATTGATTCAGAAAAGACATTCTATCTAGCAGGGAATCAAGTGTCAAAACGCTACTCCCCATGAACGGTAAGTAAGCGACGATTTCCTGCAGTGAGAAGAGGAAGGAACCTCAAACCTTCAGAATCAGTGTAAACACATAGATCAAATAAAAAAGGAAACTGCCAAAAGACACCAACAACATGCCACTGAGTGACAAGAACAGCAGCAACAGAAAATATGATATTGCAAATTTTAAAGGAAAATTTTAAACTTCACTTCATAAGTTCAGATCTATGCAAGACAGCAGGTCGCTTAGACAGTCAGCAACTGTCTGCTCCACTACTAAAGGAGTCTCATTAAGAATTGTATCGCAGCAGGAAACCTTATCGATCACATCGTTGGTATCTGTAAATAAAGAAAACTAAGAATAAATAGACAAGAGGTTAAAATCATACCAAGCACTGCTTCAACCTCTTCAATGTTCTTGTTCATCAAATTAATCATGTTCTGCTCGATCTCTTCGACCGACTGCAGAGCCACCGCAGCGGCTTCCGGTATCTGTTTAGAAGAGGTGGTCTGTTCACCACTGATCGTGCGGTCAGCAGAACTACCCCTGAACCGAACGGTTGGGACGTTTTGGGGAAGGGATGCCACAAATCCGTTAGATTTTTTATTGGAGCCATTATCGGCTTCCTCGCCTTCAACGTCTTTCCAGTTGTTCTCGCTCTTCTCCTGTTTTTCGACAGCGGCGTCGTTAGCAGCTTCGTCGTTAGACAGCTCAATCTCGGTGACCGTCTCGCAAATCGTTACCCGTCTGTTCGACAAATTTGCACCATTCTTCTGCGAAACGCGCTTTTTCAGCGGCTTGCTGACGTCCGCCGCTGATTGGGCTTTCCGAAACCCGTCTGGGCTGCCGTTGTTTCCCTGTTTACTCTTCATTTGCCTGGTGTTCTTCTTCACATGGATGTTCACTTCCGGTCCTCTTGTCACCAAATCAGCTGGTTGCTTTTTTGATCCCAGTTCGATCTCGCGAAAAGAAAAGCGCACAGTGTCAACAGCTCCCATATTATCCTTATGCGTGGCTGGATCGAACGGAGCTTCACTCTCACCATCTAATATATGCATCGAACGCCTTGTCCCGTTAACGTTTGCACCTGGCCTGAATCGCACCATATCTGCAATTACGGGAAAAGATCAACCATTCAATTTCAGAAATATATATTTATGATTCATACCTTCCCTGGGCAACCTTTATTTGAACACTGTCAAGTGATGAACTGTCAAGCGACAAATTCAGAAAAATTATTTTAAAATACTGAACCCCCTTTCCAAATGTAATCGTAATTTCTGACGACGCTGTTGCACTGCACTCGTTGATACTGCTGTGCATCTGGACAGGTACATCAGTGATAAGACTAACTGCCTATCAAAGAGACCCAGCTGAGCGTTCGTGAGAGATCTTCTTAATGGATATGAAGCAGACGCACGACAGCTCGCATTTTCTGATGAGAAATGGCTCCTACCGCCAGCTTTCAACAACTGTGTGTCATGCCATCTTCAAACTTTATGTTGCATTAATTCAGCTTTGCAATGCCCTCTTCTTTTTCAAGCAGTACCCTGATGGCGAATGCGATTGCAAAGTAAAAGCACGTTTCTTGAAACTAGTCCTAAGCCGCGGAAGGACTTCCAGAAACCTAGTTTCACATTTCTTTCCTCATATTACGTTCCAAGTTAAGTCGTTCTTGTCGATCCAGGGTAGAAGATCCAACTGCTGTTATAGCTTAATACAGGGTTCTCTACAGTACTAGTACAGGAAGCAGATCTGCAGATTCAGTGGTGGTGGCAGGGGTGAAATTTATTTTGAGCCTCGAGCAACCTTGTTTGTCGCAGCCCGGTTTTTCTTAGTGGACATGATGAAGAATACTCACTAGATGTTATATCCTTATTGACTATCGTACGACTGGATATTTAAACCTATCATAAAAGCGTCCATTCATAAAACGACTACAAATGATGTATGTTCAAATAATAAGAAATTCTGGAATATTGGAGGGAAAAGTTACTCATCACCATTGCTAATCGTCCGATCACTCTGAACTTAATATTAACTTGCATTAATATCTTATTGTCCTAATAGATTACTGGTATGCCGTAATGAAATGCGGAAGAGAGAATGAGGGAGAAGTTGAGCCAATAACTACAAAACAGGATCGACGTAAACCCTAAGAAAATCTTACTGCATCTCATAAATTTTATAGTCTTGCCAACAACGCTGAACTGGTAACAAACACCCTTCACAAGAATGCATATCCTGAATGAGAGACTCCATCGCCCCTTCACAGGACCGAAGTACAAGAACATGAAAATAAATAAAACGCTACTCCGTAGATAGCTCACCCAGCTTAATTTTATATGTATGAACTTAAACATCGAGGGCTTAAAATCCCTTTTGCAACTGCAGTACAATTCGCATCCTTTACTGACTACATCGATACCCATTGTCGTAATCTACTATACTTCAGCGACAGAACACTTTTAACATTACTTTCACAACGAGTGCTCTTAAGCATTGGTCGTCCATGCCTACTTCATGGATTCGGTATGGTACAGAAATCCAACGGAAATGGTAACGTAAAAAATCACATAATACCTTATCACCGCGGTGCCTTACACCCTACATCCAGAGAGAACTAAATTCAATAGGTCCATCTTGTAAGGTATTAAATGAAGTGGCAATGCCAAACTGACAGCGCGTATACGATTAAGTATCTGCCTTCACATACATCTATCCCGTTCACTTGAATGTCCATTCTATTCTGAACATCATTTTCGAAACGAAACTTACAACTTTATCGGTGTCAATCACTGAATCAGATTTCTGATCAAATTAGCCGTATGTATTCAAATTTACCAATTACAGTATAATAACGATAAATAGGCGATAACAACAAATCAACGATATAAAATAAGGCAAACTACATTTTTTCACATGCACAAAATAAAATTTTAATTATATAGCAAGCGATCGATAATTTGCTGCTCACCTTTCCGTGCTGAACGGCGGTTTTCGTTTTCAGGGAATTTGACAACTGCTGACTCAATGATTCCTTCAGCCATCCTAAAAATTACTAAAACCAATATGAATAAAGTATACAATAAAAAACATACTGTTAACCAAATTCATGAAAAGACAAAATAACAAATGGAAAAACTTCATGGAAAATCGCCATGAGAAACTGTGCCTCATACAGGAAAATTTTGATCAAATCCATTGGCGAAAAAAGCTCGGAATAAACGAATTTAATTTGTGAAATCCAGACTGAAAGTCAACAGAATATTTTTCTGTAGGAACTTATCCAACATTTAGCACCATGTAAAACTTTCCTTTTACAGAAAGCAGAACAAAGCAATAAAATACACGAAACCGAGTTTTGAATAATACTGATAAAATTCTTTAATTACATGGTCCGACTCGTCTAGAGGAACAGCAGTGCAATGGGTTAATAGCTCATGGCTTGCTTGCACTTTAGAGGTACCGAGCTACGATTCCACGTGCTGCGTACATTTTCTCTTTTAACCGCTAATACCGTAGAACAAAAAATTCACCCTACAGTATTTCGATACAATCAGCAGAAAAACAAGTAGCAATGCAGGTCGCTGAAGTGCGAATACCGGCGATAACATGGCGTTTAGGTGTATTCATGCGAAAGTGTGTCAGACATATAACCATGCTGTCTGATGCGTACACTTTCCGGCTGCAATTCATCTTCACTCAACTGACAAGTGAGCAAAAATCAGCATAGTGAGTAAACCTTAATTAAATTAAGCCATTATTTCAGTACACCATTGGATATTACAGATGGATTTCATTATCTTCGATTTAAAAAATTTACGCTATAACTATTTTACAAGAAGTGTTTAAAGTAATGGGTTCCAACTTCAAACGTCTGAGTCCACCTTCTCTGAGCCTGGACAGCGACCAACGCAGGAAGACTAACGACACAATATTAACTATGGTAGAAGCACTTCGCTGATTTTAAGACAATTCTCTCTAGGGGAGGACACTAACTGTTAACTTGGGAGGAAGGACAGAGAACCACTTTCTACATTAATCTCAGTAGTACAAAGGTTAAAACTGTTTTAATTCGAAAAGTCTGATAGGCGACAGGAAAGAACGAAAAGAAAGTAACGAATGTTGGGAGCCATGCCTCCTCAAGATCAAAGCCTGAATTTCTCGCTTTCTCTTCATATGAGTCATTACTGTCTGTTCACAGTGCAAACGACATGACGAAAAATATTACTTTGGTTTTTTTGCAGATTAATACCGCTAATTATCCTTAATTTTTTCGTCTGCGTTTGTAATTAGTATACCCATCCTCGAGGTATAACTGCTTGGAAAGCATGGTCTGTCAAACTCAGCTACCACTGCTTCTTTGACGGTCGTCTATAGGTCCATCACAGATCTTCATGACTGATGACTATGCACTCCATTATGCTTCACCCGCCATGAGATCCCGTGTCCTGGTCGTTGTTCACTCTCCCTGATGTTTCTACGGACGAAAGATTTATGAGAAATTTGTTAACACAAACAGGCCATGACACGCTATTCGAGTTCAAACACGGATGCGCCGATCATGGGTTGGAATCTCGCTAGGGGCAACTCATACTTGATTTTTACGAGGTAGATAAATCATCAATGCTGCACAGAAAGAAAACAGGGAACCACGCGCTGTACTATGCACCAAACTGTAGATACTGGCATAAAAAATCTGGCCTTTCTGGTCACTATCAGAGTGACGGAGATCAGAGTTAGTCAAGAATAGTTGAAGCCTGGTTTCGTGTATTTCATTGCTTTGTCCTGGATTCTGTAAAAAAAAGATTTTACATGCCACCAAGTGTTGGATAAGGACAAAATACATGATAAAAGACCATAAATTATAAAAATTTTCCAAACTTTTTCTGCCATAAGTAACAGTAAGATTACTCACGAAACTTTACGCGCGTCCCACTCCCGCTGCCACTGACCGTCGGCGGTGTGCTGTCGGGAGAGACGGTCTGCGTCGATCTTTTCCCGTTCTTCCTTCCATCGCAAATAATTCAGCCGCTCTCGACCTGTCATAGTCAACTCAAGGTCTTTCTTGTTGAAAGAATGGCGTTTATCAAAATTTGCCTAAAAATACTAAGTTTCAGCCAGACTGTGAATAATAAGATTAGATGAAAACATTGGCACAATTATCTACCGAAAGCATCGCTAAATACATCTTTAAAAATCGTATCGATTGCAAGGTGCACTGCTATGAACTGCTTGCAATGGCACACGCAACATAAAAAATGCAAAACAAAACTTCATAAAACTCTGATCCTTAAAAATATACATTGCGCACATCGGTCGTACAAAACGATAAACTACTCGATTCTAATGACAGGACAGTCGTACTGAGCGTAATTCAAACTGGGCTACAGTGGGTTACGTTAATGAACGGAAACGCTTTGACGTTAAGGGGATTTAAACATTCGCCGCTCAGCGATATTTAAGCACATGCTGTGCACGTGCATCTTAAATTGCGTGCATTTACTGACTCAGACTCCATTTCTGACTATTTTTATAAAAAAAATGCAGGAGTACTTAGTAACGGAAACGAAAAGGAAAGTTTGTAATCGCTGGATGTCTATCGCGTTTCTACTCAAACGAAGTCATACGGTAGTGATGATCTCCAGTGCCATACCACCAGCAATATCTGCCGATTA